GTTGCTGGCGTTGCCGGTGTTGGCGGTGTTTCCAGTGTTGGCGGAGTTGTCAGCGTTGCCTGTGTTTCCGCAGTCAACGTTGTCGTTGGTGTTGCCAGTGTTCGCGTTGTTGTTTCCAGTGTTGGCGTTGTTGTTACCAGTGTTGGCATTGTTGTTGTTCTGGTTGTTGTTGTTGTTGTTGTTGGCATTGCCGTTGTTGGCGTTGTTGTTGCCAGCACCGGCATTACCACCAGCAGCGCCCGCAGTCGTAAAGTTCGAGAAGCCCTGCGCCTTCATGACATCGGCCACAGACAGACCCGCAGCGTCAAACGGCGTGGTCTTGGAAGTAGCCGAGTTGGCGTTCTCGGTGTCGGAGCCCGTAACAGCGGGATCGACGAGGGGCACGATGCCGCGGAGCGCCTCGGTGGCAGGCAGCGAGGCGTCGCCGCAGATGTTGGGCACGCTGACGACGAAGGGGTTGAAGTTCTGCTCGGCGGCGACGAGGCCCTTGGCGGCGTCGAGGACCTCGGCGCTGTCGCCGAGCTGCGTGACGATCTTGTCGGCGAGGGTGAGCTTGTCGCAGGGGTTGGCGGCGGCGAGGAGCACGCCGGGGATGCCGCCGGCGAGGGTGGCGGCCTCGCCCGGGTTGCCGACGTTCTGGAGGGAGGAGACGGCGGAGACGGGGGTCTGTTCCTGGCCGAAGCGGGCCTCGGCGACCGCCAGGAGGGCGGAGATGAGGAGGGTCTTGCTGGAGTAAGACATTTTTGAGTGTTTTGTTTGTGTTGGTTTTGGGTGTTTTTTAACAACGGAAGACCGGATGATGGAAAGAATCGAAGATAGCTTTAGAAGTTACTTTTTAGTGAAGAAAGATTGGAAAGGACCGGCTAGCGGTTTGTAGTTGGATTGTCAGACAAGAAAGAGTGTCGAGAACGTAAAAAAAGTTCACAGAACTGAAAGATTGGAAGAGGAGAGTAGGGCGAATGCTTGGTTTGCAGGATGAGGAGGGAAAGAAGAAACGACTGACAGACGGGATGGGCAGATGGGATTATATAGATGGTGAGGTGTGGACGATGTCAGACGAGATTGTTTCCCGTGATGGTTCCATGGACCACAGACTGAACCGCAGGCGCCATGGGGCTGGGACTGGGGGCTTCGAGAAGGGGTGTCGCAGACGAGACGTCGAGGAGGTCTGCGACGATGACACTCCTTGACGGGCAACCCCCTCGTCAACGATCCATCCCATGGGATGAGATGCTCCAGTCCACCGAGTCGCATGCGCTGGGCCCATCCAGTAAACGCGCATGGGATGATGTGAACATGGGTGGTCAGAGTCTGTCCATGGGTTGGGAGCCATGCCTCGCGGAAGAGCCCCAAGCACGGCGAAGAGAGAGGAAGCCAACCCAGACGGCGATCATACTGCAGCATTGGACGGACGACATGGTGCGGCGGCATGAACGTCACGGACCAGCAGCAGCAGGCGCGGCGGCTCATGGCCAGGCGCGGGTTCAGGTCGCGACATGCCCAAAGTGTCCGTCCCAACTGGCCTCACACGCAGAGTTTGTCTCATGTCGGCTGGACTCGAGGATTGGCCCAGGGACCAAGGGGGTTCGGATGGGTGGCGGTGGTGGCCGTCCCATTTCTTCTCAGATTCTGCGCAGGCTTCTGCAGAACCTTCGTGCAGCGAGTGCGTGGTGATCGGGAGTCGAGCCGAAAAGAGGCATGGAGGAGCCTTGCAGCTTGCCTCCTACCTACTACTCATGCTTGCTTCATGATGCGCCTAGCCCAGGCCAGGGTGGAGGCCGAGCAGCCGAGAGCTGCGATAGAGACCATGTCTGTCTGCCTAGTCTCCATCTAGTCAGTCTGCCAATAGCCTCTCAGCCAACCCCGGGATGCGAGATGACGAAAGAGGGAGACGAGATGAGTTGAGGATATGGAAGAGCGAGAACCCGACAACACGGGCGGGATGCGTGGTGCAAGACGGCAGAGAGCTGGAGGCGAAGGGGGCGCATTTGCGGTGCAGCAGCGTCCCAGGCCGCCGCGAAGGGCATAGCGCGGCCCCCGCCTGTTGGCCGCCCGTCCCCCTCAGTGCAACGGCCCCCCGCCAATGCACAGTGAGCTGCCCGCTTACACGAGGGGACAGCTCCAGCACTCTAAAACTCCCCCGGCACGCTCTAAAACACCATCGCGGTGGAAATATCCACAAGCAGACGGATGAATCCAGCTCGACGGGGCCATCCACTTGGGGAGGGCATGAAGCGGACGAGGCGGCCTGCGGCAGTTTCTTGCGGTGAAAGGGGGCCAGAGGAGCGAGTGCGGGATGGTGCTGCGACTGTTCAGAGACTGCGAGCGTGTCTGGTGCAAAGATTGTGAAGCCGTCTGGTGGTGATGTGAGCTGATGCATGTTCATCTGGGAGGATGCCATCTGATGCTTTACAGCTGTCACCGCGATAGACTCTCGACACCACGAGAACATCAACCCAACGTCAAAGCGGAAGAGCCCAAGTCACAACAAGACAACTGCGAGTCGTGCCATTAAGCTCATCAGCAAAATGATCCCGTGGGAACGGCGCGACCGGGTGAAGGTGAGGCTGAGATAACCTGCGCCGTTAGCGCCCGGTGTCACGCATGTCCGGGTGCTGAATTGATTAAATTAATCTATCGCCAATGCTTGTTCAGTGGGTGTCGCGGCACCGCAGCGGCCCAGAACCAGCTGGTCGCCGCCCCCGGTGCACCACCCCCTTCCCTTCGTTCTTCACTTTTTTAATCTATCGTCCCTGAGATCTGGGTGGCGGCTGTCTTTTCCCCAGATGATCCAGCAGTTAATTAGATTGGTTGAAGCTTGTTTTTGTCTGCCATTCATTTAGACATCTCCGCGGGTTGTGTGACTGACACCCGTTGAAGAAACATTCCGTTTAGAGATCACCAACAGAACTCTGATTCCGATGACTAAACCGCCTCGTAAATCTGGACAATCATCTCGTTTGTGCCTGCCCGCAAACTCTGTCCTCCTTGCCGTCGATCCAGATTGACTTTGGCGCGGTCGGCTGCCATCTGGCTCTTGCATCGTTAACAGTTGCTCTATTGCCCGGGCCTCTCCTCTCTCTCACTCTGCCTCTGGCGTCTCACTTCCTCCCCTTCGCCCCCGTGTCCTTGCTCCTTCACAGCCAGCACGACGCTTGGGGCAAAAGATCTTCCTGCGAGGGTGACATTCTGTTGAATACGACTCAGCTCAGGGGGGATGTAGGTGACCCCATGAACCGGAATGACTTCGCTTCGGAACCGAACCGCGCCAACTTCATCTCGCCCAACAATCCTCCCATTCACTCGCGCCCGGCACCAGACGTGCCGTGCCCTGTCATCAATCTCCCACTCACCTTAACCCAAAAGCTACCGAAAAGAGGCAATTGATGGTTGCGCGAACTGCAACTGCAACGCCAACAAAGTCCAAGGGCCCCAGCCACCCCTGTCAGCAAGATCGCATTGCGGTCAAACAGCCTCATCAGGGGGTCCAGGCTCCCTGAGACGCCTCCTCAAACCGACCGGGTCGCAACCCGCACCAAATGGCAAACCGCCCACTCACAGGCTTCCCTTCGGCAGAAGCCTTCCCAATCTGGAAAGATAGACGGCCCCGGGCGTTGTTTGACCGACATCTCTTCCCGTCCATCTCATACACAGGAGTCCATTCCGTCTGGGAGCATGTTTTTTTCTGACATCATCCCTGACTTGCGCGCGTATCCGTCAGCGAGGAATTTTGTTGTTATCATTTTGTGAGCGTCGGTCGACAGGCCCGCAATCCGCAAGCAGGGCGAAAGGCACTTTCCAGCTTTCGCGATTGCCAAGAGGTTGTGTTTGATCTGTGCGTTGGTGTACCTGAATTCTTCCCAAATTCACTCTTTTTGGGCACTTTTCTAAACTGCCGCTTCCTCTCACGACGACTCCTGTCAGGTGGAATGAGAGGCAAACCGTCTTGGCAGGGTGAGAACCGCGGCGGCAGGTCAGAAATAGTGTCTCCTCAACTCGTCAGCATGTATTTCAAGTCCTTCAAGCCTCGCTTTCGCTTTCTTGGCCACGGATCGCTCCTCATATCAGAGAGTGTTCCACTCGCCAGCAGGAACGCAAACTCCAAACTCCCCTCCTCCGATCAGAGGACCATCTAGACCTCGGTCTCTCCCGACCTCAAGACCCAACCTCGGCAGCAAGCGGTAGCAAAATCCTTAATTCACTTCATCCAACCCGTCTCGACCTGCCCCGACTCAGTCCTCCTCCTCCATCCCCATATCTCCAGTCTCAAGCTCAACCCAGCGCTTATCGCATAACACAGATCTCCCAAGCCTCCCCCCAGCCTCGCCGAATTCCCGAACTACCTGACTCACATCAGTCGACCGCTTCGTCTGAAGTCCAGACGACAGCCCACCACCCACTTCTCTGTCCCTCCCCCTCCCCCTTCACCCCTCTCATTATGCCGTAGATCATATCTCTTCGTCCGGTCACAAGTCGCAAGCTGCACAGACCCAGACGGCCACGTTCCGTCTGAAGAGCAACGAAAGAAAAAAAGGGCAAGTGTTCGTCAGCGCATTGTGCGTCCACCCGCGCGCCATTTCGGTCTGACTTCCATCCGATCTCGCGTTTGATGCGCACGCGCAGCCCGCGGTGCCCCTCATACCTGTGCCTGCACTGCTGCACCCTGACACTATCGTACGCAAGCTTCTATTATGCCGATCGTTGCGCCGAGCGGGCTTTTCCCTAGCTTTTTTGCGGGCGGAAGGTGTTGGTCTGGATGAGCCTTGGGGGAAGTTGGAGCTTTGCTTCGATACATGAATGTGCGATCCGCATGTGAGAGGCGATCCGCATATATTCCTTTCCATCGCAATCGTTTATCTTCTATAACACTGCTGTGGAAAACTTCTCCGGGTTTCTCTTTTGCTGTGATCAGAACTTACGTGCTTTCTTCTGTGATATGCCCCGTATCAAGATGAGTCTTGCTATCCGGGGGAAGAACTACCCACATTAGGTCCAACAGTTTATTTCGTTTTGATCATTTGTTCATCCCCGTCGTCCTTGTCGTCCTTGTCGTCCTTGTCCTCCCTGTATCTATCCCTTTCCCCGTCGTTATCGTCGTCCTTGTCGTCGTCTTTAGTGTTGCTCCACGCGCTTCCCTGCCTCGTCTTGGTAACGGAAGACACACTGGCACCCGCGAGCCTTGTGCCAGGGCCGCCACTGCGCACCTGCCTGCGATATTGTGCCTCTCTCATGTAGCCAATCTGTAGTACGGCCGATATCGCGAACGTGGCATCCAAGAATTGCCATCGCCATCGGTCGCCATCCACCCATTCTATGCAGCTCTGTCTCTATGAGAGGGAACTTGTAGTCAAGGTCGCGGTTTGCCTTCCCAACGCCAGGGCATCCGCAAGCAAGTTCCGCCGAGCAGAGGACGTTGTCGAGAAGTGCCTGGCCAAGCTGCTCATCAAATCCTTTCCCGAGCTTGACATGCCGCAGGGTCTCAATGCCGTCAAGCAGCTGATAGAAGTCTCCGAGCCACTCCCACTTGTTGTTGCGCTTGGGCAGGTTGAGAAAGAGCTCCCTGAGATTGGGCATGTGTGGAAGAGTAGACATAATAGCTTTCAGACGCGTTCCTTTGTCGCGGGGTAGGTTGATGCTGACGGAGTGCGCGTGGTCGAGGGCCCGGGCCCAGAGCGATCGGAGCTCGGGATGGGAGCGGTACTCGATGCCTGGATCGTCGTGGATTCGAGCCAACTTGATCCAGCACTCGTCGTCAAAATGGATCATATTCATGGAGAAGACGTAGTTCAAGATTTCGTCTCGGATCTGGCGACACACCAGGAGCAGGCCGGGTCGGTTGCACTGGCAGGTCTCGCAGGCTTTCTTGCAGCGTCCGCAGATCTTGAGTTTCTGTCGGGTCTCGTTGGTCGTGAATGGCTTGACGAAAAGCACTTTCTGGCGAGGGAAGTCATCGGTGTATTCGTATATCATATTTCGCAGTTCGCGAGGAAGACGAAGAACGGCGGGGGTGGTGGCCATGGTGAACGTGAAAAGGACACGGGTGTTGTGTGAAGAGAAGAAAGTTTATCAAGGTAGGTGTGAAGAAGAAGAGTTTTCACTTTGAGTTGTTATTGGACAGGAAGGACCACTTCGAAAGTTGCTGTTCCGGAAGGTACGTTCAAGCTGTGAGCACTTTCCTCCGCAAATTCCTGAGAATTATTGCTAGTCGGGCAGGATCAGTTGGCTATCCAGGCGTGCTCTACAACTTCAAACGTAAGGTATTACACCTAATACTTAGATATGAACAACAGTAGTAGAGAAAACGATAACGCCGATGGACAACGGGAGACAACGATGGGAGACAACGATGGGAGACAACGATGAAGACGACGATGAAGACGACGATGAAGACGACGATGAAGACGACGATGAAGACGACGATGAAGACGACGATGAAGACGACGATGAAGACGACGATGAAGAAGATGATGAAAACGACGATGATAGACAATAATGACAGAGGCGATATACGCATTACACGCCTGCGTGGCGAACACCGCCCGGCTAGCAAACTTCTTATCAAGTGGGTGAGATACCAGATTCACGCACGATTTGCTCAGAGAAAGAAGAAGATGTACTTGGCTCCTTTATCAAGCACATTTTGACACTGGATACCGGAGCCCCAAGCGTCTATGTTCAGCATCGGAGTGGCATCCGCGCAACCAAGAATGTTTCCTCCTCCCGTCGTCCCTCTGGCTTCAGTCTTGCCCTTTCTTCACTCTTGACAGAACTAGTGTTTGCCGTCATTAGTCCCATCCATCCCATTGCCTCCTTTTAGCTTGGCAGCTGTACCGCTGTCCTACGCTTCATTCAATCTTCGAGAGGCTTCCGTACAATAGAGCGTCAACAGGCGCTTACGACTCAATCCATCAGAAGTGTCTTCCGTATAAAATGTGCAGGACCCGCCTCGGGTATGCCACCATTGTTTCAGCTGCTCACGTTTTATGGGCTGCGTTATAAAATAACAACCGAGAATCACGTTCGTCGGATGAGAACCGTCGCAATCACGAAACGCAGCGACAGGTGTCTTACCTAGAGGGTCACCCTTCTCCTCAAGGCGACAATTACATAGTATCTTCACCGAACAGCTGACCTTCTTCGATATCACCTCGACGTCTTCCTTCTGGAACCCGTACGCAAGCTTCAATTCGCGCAGACTCTCAATCTCGTTCAACGCCGCGCAGTATGCGTCCAGAAGGGGTTCTGGATCCCACTGCCGTCTGTCGATGATCCCGAGACTGACGATGGACAACCGAGGAGCGTGTTTGATCGCTGAGGAGAACCACTCCGGCTTCGTGACGGCGTCCGGGCGAATTCTAACGTGCATGCGGCGGAGATTAGCGAGGGCGTCTTTCCACAACGACTGAATCTGTCGCGGCGGTTGGATCTCGGGTCCGCTTGCTCTCTTCCCAAGTTTGGCGAGACGAAACCATGCGCTTTCCTCAAAGTCCTTGTGAGACTCCGACGCACTGCCGTCGTCGAAATAGACCATGTTTTGGATGAAGAATAGATCGAGGACTTCATGCCGCATCTGGCGGCAGACGCGAAGCAAAGATGGTCTATTCCAGGCGCGAGAGAAGGGAACCCCATTCGAATTGGCGCGAACCACCCCGCTAGAAAAGATCTTCTCGCCCGTCAGAAGTCTGGCTTCTAGGAATCTGCTCTGTGGTAATATGTCTGTGTATTCGTAGATAAGGTCCCGGAGTTCCCTGGGGAGGCGGAAGATCGGGAAGGCTGCAGGCGCAACGGGTCCTGGGGAGATGTCGTTAGTTACAGAAGCATCGGGAAGAGTGACGACGGCTGAGGCAGCAGCAGCGATAGGTTCAGGCGTTTGGCCAGAGGCGGCTTCAATGACCGAGGCAGACTTGGAATTCGCAGTGCTGCTCCTAGTTCGCAGTGCGCGGTAAGGCGCTGGGCGCTTTTTAACCGATTTGACTTTCCTAGGCATTTTTGTTGATTGTGGTCACTGGTGTATGAAGGATTGTTTCGAGATAGCTGTCAAGACTTCAGCTTGAAAGTGTTTCCCAGGAGAGGATAAATAGTAGGACGGCAAGGTGTAATCCTGTAAGAAGACGAAAAGGTGCACGAGGGGGCCATCCGCACTCATTAAAGCCAAGACTAAAGGAGTCTATCGTCATTTTTGAGGTCCTACGGAATTGAATGGCCATCTAGGTGGCGGCTGAAGAGTCCGCGACAAGTTGGGCCTACACCGTGACGGTCACATGTAGATACCTTGAGGAGCCTGGAGGACTCTCATCGTCGCTACCACTACCATCGTTATTATCATCGTCCTCATTAATATTATCGTCGTCGCCGTCACTACTACTACCGTTATTATCGTGATCGTCCTTCGTGTTGTAAACATTTCGCTACACAGGAAATGTAGCCGCCCAGGCACAAGGAAATAGGAGGGCCCTTGTTTTCACCCATAGATTCTTGGATGGCAACGGAAGTCTGGTAGTATAAGTTTCTCAGAAGAAAATCTATTTCGAACCATGATGAGCAGTTTTCTGGTGAGTAGCCTTACGCTAGACTTGCAGCACTTAATTCTGCTCAAGGCATGTCTAGCCTTCCATTGGTAACTATTCACTTCCTATGAACATTGGAATAGGTAGGTATCTTCCCGGTAATTATAGACCTTGAAACAAATTCGGTCAACACTCAAAATAGAAAATTACTACCGAACGGTCGGAACCGATAAGGCTGGCTCAAGCCCCAAAAAGCCTTGGCCACGATGCCGTGAACCGACACGAGATACCCTTTTAGGCAATCTCACCACCCACGGAGAGCCACCGTCCGAACCACGCCAATTGCCCCCCCAACTTCAATTCGGCTCTGATCCGCATCATATCTTGCGTCTCCACGCCCAATAAGCGGAAGGATCAACTGCCCGCAATCCTGGAATCCTATTTAAAATCCTCCGGGACGCAACGCTGCCAGATTGACGAATGGAACCGGATGGCCACTTGCAAGCGTGGGAAACGGGATGAAACTGTTTGCGTCAGATCTGTCGTGCGACTTTGATTATTTGGATCAGGTATGCGCTAGGCGGGGGGTTGGTGAGTTTAAGTTGACGACGTTTTGATGCCAATTTTCACAACATCTTTCACAATCTAAACGTCGCATTTCAATGTGTGCTGTTTAAACTGAACAAAACTCACTGACCGCAACACAACTACTTTTCTCACAAATCAAGTACATAACAGTAATCCTTAGTTCTTAAAGAAACGTTCCACATATTTTAAAGTCACCGCGAACCTCTGCGAACCTCTGCGCGTCGGAAGTCGCGTCAGGATGTTTGTTGTTGCTCATCGTGACGCCCCATGGCCATGAAAACGCTATTGACAAAAATCGCGACAAATACCTCTCACAATCGCCAGTTGGGCACTTAAGAGAGCCGATAAAGCCTTAAATATGTTCAATAGGTATTGTTTACCCTGCTAGCATCACAAACGGCTCATAAACGCTCGTTGTCAACCGCATATCCAGCCTCAAAGTCACGATGATGTCCTCGGCCATTCTTTTCCCCGTCGCCGCCTCCCTCGCCACAGCCGCACCGGAGGGAGCCGCCGGGCGAAGAACCTCATTCAGCTCCAACTGACTGGCTGGAGAGAAGGGAGCCGGAAGCGCCCAGCCCTGTTGAGCTGAACAACCCCATCTAGATCTGCCTCTCTAGACTCTACCTGAGTTACGCGGGCCAGCTGGAATGCGAATCTTGACTCGCCCTCTGGGACACCACACTATTTTTGTTATTCTGCACCGCCGCACCCGTGACGCGGATCGACGGGAGAATCTACACTTCTTCAAAAACACATGAGTCCAGGCTAGGAAAAAAACAAGGGCCCCGTCGCAGGAATGCTCTAGGGTTGATCATTTTCCAACGGGAGACCGCGGCACACCATCTATGTTTGGTTTGGTGGAACATCTGGAATGTCGTCCCGCCGATGTGAGCGAGACAATGTCTGGTTACGCGTTGAGACCTCATGACGCCGTGATTCAATCGAAACCGAGGACGATGGACCGGTGGGAACGAACACTTCTCTAGTCTCTATTGCGGTGTCTGTCTTGTCTTGGGCCCCTGTCCCGACCGGAGCTTTTGGCCTTTTCTCCCCTCTCCCTTTCTTCCCAGGAAAGCGGGCGAAAAAGACAACAACAAACAACAACCACAACTAACTCTCTCGATGTCTCTCTCCACCCCAATCAAAGTGGACTTTCCACAAAGATTCCGATGTGGTGGGTTGTCCCGCGCATTGGCAAGCCGTAAGCTTCGCGGCAAGTCAGTTGCCGCGCAGGACAGGCACCACCTTGCAGCCCGCAAGCGCGCCGTTCCCAACGGCTGTCACCAGTCAGGCCTGTCAGAAAACCAAAAAAGAGTTTTTGCTGCCCGCTGGCCGCTCATTCCGAGATGCTGAACCCTTCCCACCCTCCTACCCGCCCGCGTCCAACGCGGCCTGGCTCGACCCTGGAACGTGGGCAGCACTCTCTGTCTGACGTCGTTGTGTGGGGGGAGGAGGAGACCTATGTTTTTTTCCAGCAGAGCCCAGGCCTTTCTTCTCTTCCGGCAGCATTTCTCTTTGGTTCGTCTAGCTGCCAGCTGGGCGTTTTCCCACCTGTGTGCCCCTCTTCGAGTGACAAGAAGATTCGCGGGCGCCGAGTCAAAAAGGCCAGGTGGCCCCTGGCTCGCCGTGCGTCTGTACCTGCGTCTGCCCAGGCATTGGACCGCTTGGCCGCCTGTCAAACCCCGGTCTGGACGCGGGCCACGCCCCCAGCTGGGGGCAGTCAGCAGTGGACGTGTTCCCCGTCTGGTTCTGAAGGATTCTTTCGGCGGTGCTGGATTGGGGGGAGGGGGTACGGATAAGTTAAGGGGGCGCGAGCGTCTCTCTGGGCAGAGGAGCAAAAAAGGCTTGTCAGTGGGGGTTTGCAGCAGTTTACACTTCCTGTCGGCTTATTTTCTGCTGCCGAGAACGAAAAAACGAAAATACACAAGGTAATTCGCCCAGGGAATAAAAACAAGGCACAGGTAAATCCACATCTGTCAACAGGAGAGAGAGAGCCTCGGCGTTGAATGCTTGGCCCTGGTTTTTTTGTGCTTCGCTTGCGGCTTGCAGCTGTCAGAGTGGATGCTGTGCCAGGTTGATAAAATCACCGCGAGTTCCGGGTACGGCATTCTGCATTGTCATCATCAATTGGTGCGGTGGAACACTCATGTCGCCAAGCGAAATGCGACAAATGCCATGGTCGCGCGTCACATGATTTTTTATCTCAATTTTCGATTTCGATTTGTGTTTATGCTTGATGCGCCAATACAGCCATTTAACTAACCCGAAAAACCTCGATTGAACAACAAGACGCGTTCAATATTGAACGCAAAGAATATGCATACGTATATACACTGGTAAAAATGTTTCATTATTCCGGGTTCCCAATCATTAGTCTAGATTTCTTTGAATTGATATCAAAAATGCTCGCTGTGTAATTTGTGCGTAAGAAAGAGGGACCAGCAAAAAAGGTCGCAACCTAATACCCCATGTCTCAAAATGTACACATTACTGGATGGTATCGGTCTCTTCACCTCTTCTTCTTTCGCGTTTCTCTTTACGAGGATGCAATGTCTATTGACAGCGTCGGCACGCGGAAGGTGACGACCTTGGTCGCGGACAGCGCTTCGGAGCCAAGACCCATGTAGCCGAGGTAGGTCGCGCTGGTGGGGAACTTGACGTCGGTCGCGAGCGCGGTGACGGAGGCCGGCAGGTCGGTGAGGGTCGTGACGAGCTCCGTGAGGTCGCCGACGAAGTGCTCGGTCGTGGGCGCGACCCAGGTCAGGACGTACTGCTTCAGACTGTTCTGGCCGCCGTAGAGGGTGCTGCAGGTAGCGAGTTAGCCCACATCAGTTCTTGACGTTCCATGCATCGCGACACGTACAATGTAGTTCCGTTGATAGCCTTGGTCGTAAGAGCGCCGGAGCCCGACTTGTAGCCAATGGGCTGCGTCGCGGCGCCGAACGTGGCGAGCCACACCATCACTTCGTACGCGGCGAGCGTCGAGTTCTGCGCCGAGGTCTTGTCGTCGTCCAGGAACATATCGATGGCGACGTTGGTGTTGGTGTCGTTCTCCGTCAGCGCCGTCTCGTCCGTCGTCGTCGCCGAGTCGCCGTCCGTGGTGTAGTTGCCGACCGCGTACGACCACTCGACGTCGACCGCGATCTTGGAGATCTTGGAGATCTCGAGCGGGAGGACGGTGCCGTCGACCTTGATGTTGGGGAAAGCGTGGACGGGCTGCGTCTCGGGGCCGCGGGGGTAGCGCCAGGTGACCCAGAACTCGGGCGCCGAGAAGTCGGTTGCATAGGTTTGGTTGTTGAAAGTCGTGACCTGGGGGTGGCCGGGTTAGCTGCGATGGCCTGTGTTGGTGGTCGCCGGCGACGACATCATGATGGGCGTCAAGCCGGGTAAGGCGTTGAGGCGCAAAGCAGAGTTACACCTTGACGACATCATGACCCCGCCAATCGGCCAAGGTGCGACAACCGGAGAAGGATTTGGGGGGGATGGAGGGGTTCTTGAAGACGTACATTCATGCACAAAGCGCCATCTGTACCCTCTGTCCAACCCCACTGGTTGGGGTTCACTGCGTAAAACATAAATCGTCAGCGAATTGTCATGATGAAATGAAGATAATTTGAGCACATGTCTGGCCAACTTGACAGCGGGCGCGGCGGCAGCAAGGTTGGCAGCACCCAGACAGGTTTCGAAATCAAGGGAGCAAAAGTCAAAACAGTCTCTTTTGCTATTGCAGAAGAGTGTGAGCATGACACAGGAAACCCGCTCCGGATTCGCTGGGCGAAGGAGCAAACAAAACACGGGAGCCCGTGTTGCCGTCGAGCATGAGGGACGGCTGCGAAAGTTCAGATGACAGCATGCCGGTGGGAATGAGGCTCGACTGTGCATCGTGTGT